CTGCATTGGATTTGGCAGCTGTAGCGAAGTGGATTGGGTGGGGGGGTGGGGGGAAGCTAAATGGGGGTAATATAGTTTAAGGTGTGTGAAAAGTAGCGGCTGGGTTTTGAGTATGGGTTGTGATTGAGAAGGAGGGGAAGTGGTATGTTGGGAGTTAGTTAGGAGGATTTGGGTGGCCGATATTTGTTGGAGTGGATGGCTTTGCATACGGCGAGACGGGCAGCTAATGTTGGAGGCAGGTGAGGGGTTGTGTATGTGGAGCAGTATGTCATTTTGTGGTTGAGCAGCTATCTAGTGGTGCGTTTGCGCAGGCGCTGCGGTGGTGTGCGTGCGTGGTAGTGGAGGCTGGATACTGTTTGCTGTTTCATGCTAGGCTGTGTAGCGTTCAGCGTATATTGCCACACAGGCTGTGCGAATAAATGCACGATGAGGCGCATATGCGTGCTAAGGAATGCATTGGATTTGGCAGCAGCAGCGCTGTGGATCGAGTGGGGGTGGGGGCAAGCTAAACGGGGGTAATATAGTTTAAGGTGTGTGACAAGAAGCGGCCGGTTTTTGCGTATGTGTTGTGATTAGAAAGGAGGCGAAGTGCTATATTGGGAGTTGCTTCGGAGGATTTGAGTGGCGGATATTTGTTGGAATGAATGGCTTTGCATACGGCAAGACGGGCATCTAATGTTGTAGGAAGGTCAGGAGCTGTGTTTGTGGAGAGGTGTGTTAATTTGCGGTTCAGCAGGTATTTATTTGTGCGTTTGAGGAAGCGATGCGGCGGTGTGCGCGCGGGGTAATGGAAGCTGGATATTGCCTACTGTTTCATGGTAGGCTGTGTAGTATTCAGCGTATATTGCCACGCAGCTGGTGCGGATAAATGCACGATGAGGAGCATAGGCGTGTTATGGACTGCATTGTATTTGGCAGATGCAGCGCTGTGGAGTGCCTGAGTGGGGGGCGGGGGAGAGCTAAGTGGAGGTAATATAGTGTAGAGTGGGTGGCAAGAAGCAGCGGGCTCTTAATATGGGTTGTGATTAGGAAGGAGGCGAAGCGGTATGTTGGGAGTTGGTTGGGAGAATTTGAGTGGCCGATATTTGTTGGAGTGGATGGCTTTGCATGCGGCAAGACGGGCAGCTAATGTTGGAGGAAGGTCCGTTGTTGTGTATGTGGAGCAGTGTGTCATTTTGTGGTTGAGCAGGTATTTAGTGGTGCGTTTGAGGAGGCGATACGGTGGTGCGCGTGGAAGGTGATGCCGGGTGCGCACTTTGTGCTGGTGCATGTTAAGCTGTGTAGCGTTCAGCGTCTTTTGCCACGCAGCTGGTGCGGACAACTACAGGATCAGGCACAGCTGCGTTTTGAACACTGCATGGGATTTGGCAGCTGTTGTGCTGTGCATTGAGTGGGGGATGGGGGAAGCTAAATGGGTGTAATATAGTGTAAAGTGAGTGACGCGAAGCAGCGGGTTTTTGAGTATGGGTTGTGATTAAGAAGGAGGCGAAGTGGAGTGTTGGGAGTTGGTTAGGAGGATTTGGGTGGCGGATATTTGTTGGAGTGTATGGCTTTGCATGCGGCAAGACGGGCAGCTAATGTTCGAGGAAGGTGAGGGGTTGTGTATGTACACCACTGTGTGATTTTGTGGTTGAGCAGGTATTTAGTGGTGTGTTTGAGGAAGCGATGCGGTGGTGTGGGTGGGGGATAATGGAGGCTGGTTACTGTTTGGTGGTTCATGCTAGGCTGTGTAGCGTTCAGCGTATATTGCCACACAGGCTGTGCGAATAAATGCAAGCTAAGGCGCATATGCGTGTTAAAGGCTACATTGGATTTGGCAGCAGCAGCGCTGTGGATCGAGTGGGGATGGGGGGGAGCTAAATGGCGTAATATAGTGTAAGGTGTGTGAGAAGAAGCAGCGGGTTTTTGCGTATGAGTGTTGACTAGGAAGGAGGCGAAGTGGTATGTTGGTTGGGGAACAGCTACATGGGGGTAATATAGTGTAGAATGTGTGAGAAGAAGCGGTGGGTTTGTGAGTATGGGCTGTGTTTAGGAAGGGGCCGAAGTGGTATGTTAGGAGTTGGTTAGGAGGATATGAGTGGCGGATATTTGTTGGAGTGTATGGCTTTGCATACGGCAAGACGGGCAGCTAATGTTGGATTAAGGTGAGGGGTTGTGTATGTGGAGCGGTGTGTCATTCTGTGGTTGAGCAGGTATTTAGTGGTGCGTTTGAGGAAGCGATGCGGTGGTTTGCGTGCGGGGTAATGGAAGCTGGATACTGTGTGCTGGTTCATGCTAGGCTGTGTAGCGTTCAGCGTATATTGCCAAAAAGGATGTGCGGATAAATGCAAGATGAGGCGCAAATGCGTGCTAAAGACTGCATTGGATTTGGCAGCAGCAGCGCTGTGGATTGCGTGGGGGATGGGGTGAAGCCAAGAGGAGGTAATATAGTTTATAGTGTGTGAGAAGCAGCAGGGGGTGTTTGAGTGTGGTTTGTGATTAGGAAGCAGGCGAAGTGGAATGTTGGGAGTTGGTTAGGAGGATTTGAGTGGCGGACATTTGTTGGAGTGGATGGCTTTGCATACGGCAAGACGGGCAGCTAATGTTGGAGGAAGGTGAGGGGTTGCGTATGTGGAGCAGTGTGTTATTTTGTGGTTGAGCAGTTATTTATTGGTGCGTTGGAGGAGGCGATGCGGTCGTGTGCGTGCGGGGTCATGGCGCCTGGATACTGTGTGCTGTGTCATGCTAGGCTGTGCAGCGTTCAGCGTCTATTGTCACACAGATGGTGCGAATAAATGCAAGATGAGGCGCATATGCGTGCTAAGGAATGCATTGGATTTGGCAGCTGCAGCGCTGTGGAATGAGTGGGGGTGGTGGGAAGCTAAGTGGGGGTAATATAGTTTAGAGTGTGTGACAGGAAGCGGCGGGTTTTTGCGTATGGGTTATGATTAGCATGGAGGCGAAGTGGTATGTTGGGAGTTCGTTAGGAGGATTTGAGTGGCGGATATTTGTTGGAGTGAATGGCTTTTCATACGGCAAGACGGGCAGCTAATGTTGGAGGAAGGTGAGGGGTTGTGTATGCGGAGCAGTCTGCGATTTTGTGGTTGAGCAGGTATTT